ACAGGCTGTTGTCCATCTGCGCTGAGTAAAGTCATATTGGTTCAGTGGATAAGGAGGGAGTAAATAGGTATTTTGCAGTATCTGCTGGAGTGTTACAGCAGTGCTGCTAACTGAATCAGCAGAAACATACAGCAGAAGCTGATTTAGTCGACAGCAAACTACCGCATGCAGTCACCTGCTTTGCCTAGCATCTACACACAGGCTGCTGCAGCCCCGTGGCGTTGAACCCAGTGCTTCTGCTGTCCACCTCCCTGTCTGTCCCTGACACGGCTTCCCATGGTGTTTGCAGGTCTGGCCTGCAGTAACACGTGCTGTCCACGGTATAGGAGGGGAAGTGGGACTTCATGCACCTTCTTGGAATATCAACCTCATCTCTTGTGGGAACCCTGTGTGTGCGTAGTGTCTGTGGGCATCCCCTGCTGCCTCTTGCTTCTTTGTGACTGTAGCCTAAGAGCATCCCAAAACATGCTGGAAGATGGAAACCATCAGTATCTTGTATCTTACCTCTTTGGGCAACCTCTTTTGTATTATAATGAATATGTCCTTGGTTTGCGCTGTCCTTCACTTGTAGTGCCAATCTTTGGTCCCACAGATAATTAGGAGACAATAATCCATGAAGAAAATTTTTCACAAACAGAATAACAAATACCCTTTGACACTAAAAAGAGGAAGTCACAGCACGTACAGAGAACAACAACTTAATGAGCTGGAAAAAAAAACCACTGGGTGCAGAATTAGAAGGATGCAAGTGCATGTGTATGTTTAAAATTTAAAGAAATGTGCTTTGTGTTCTATATATTCAGTGGTCTGATATGAGTTAGACCCTACCAGTGTCTTTTCCTCAGATCAGGAGACGAGGAGGGAGGCTGAATTCCTTCTTCAGCAGATGTTTATCTGTGTCCTTAACCTATGTGGTTGTACGATGATTTTCATGATGATCCAAGAGATCATACGGTGAGATTAGAGCTGTTAAGAACAAATGTTCAGCTCTTCCAGTTGTAGAGACAAAAGTGAAGAAAGGGCTCCAAGCATGGGGGCTCAAGGAATGGAAAGCTGATGAGAACCCAGAACTGAGGAGTGGGGTGCTTGATTATTTTAGGAGGTGCTTTTTACTTGCATTTCATATTTTGTTTTTAAAGACTTTTTTTTTTTAATTGAGGGTAAATATGGAGATGCTGGCAGTTTTATTTGTGCTTTTGCAGATTTTCGGACTTTTTCTGGAGGGAATGGGAAGCAGTATCTTATGCTGGAATTTCCTGGAAATGTCTTGTTTTATTAAAAGTGCAGGCTCTCCAGCTTTGTTGACATTCTCATAAGCAGCAAGAGGGGAAACTTGTAGTGCTGTTTTACTGGGGGATGGGTGTTACTAAAATAAATAGGAGGTTTTTTACATTGTCAGCACCGAGTTGCCTGGAAACTTCTCGAGGTTTGAGTTTTTTGGGGTATTTTTTTAAAGCACATAAAGAAGACCTACTCAGTGACAAGAGACCATGAAGATCTGCTGGCCATGCAGGGACTTCCCGAAACCTTATAAACCAAACACAGACTTTGTCAAAGTTAGAAACTTCTTGTTGCAAAAGGTCCAGAGAAATTCTGTGTAGAGATGAGACTGACACAGTCAGGCAGGCTAATTTGATCGGAAATAATAAGGCGAAGGAGAGCTGTGTTGGTGTAGAAAATCTGTTCTTATTACTAAAAATTGATTTTGACCTTCGTGGAGATACTCATTTCACCTCCCGGTAAAAGAAAATTTGGGGTGATTGCTGCAGGTCGGGCATACAACACTTGAAAAATTCATCAGTGATCTTGATTTGTTTTGACATGTTTTTTGGCCTACTGCTGAGTTTTGTATTTCTTTTTCTTCTAGGTATTTGCTTGCAGTCAGGGTTGCTTTTTGGTTTGAATCCTCACTGCCTTGGCAGTTGAATGGTGTTGCCCACAGGTCCCACTGTTGTTCTTCTCTCCTATATAATAGAACTCCAATAATAAAAATGAGATAATAATCATAAATAAGACTCCAGTAATAAAAATGCCTTCCCACTGCTGTAATTAGTTGGGTTTGCTTGCTTTTCTCTGGTGTAAGACACATATTTCATTCTGATTTTTATTAAACCTTAAGAAGGAGCGTTGTCAAAAACTACCGCCTTGATTTAGACTGCTACAGCGCCTTTGGCTCTTGTCATTAGGATGGCTTAGTGAAGAGCCTAACAAGAAAACAGCTGCCATGATTTTGACAACGAAATCTTTATAAAAACCTTATTCTTATAAAGTAACTCATTTTCAGAGTCATCCCAGGCAGTAGAGTGACCCAGCCCCCCCAGCCAGTGTTCAAGGGCCAAGCGAAATGTCTGGGTTATGCTCTGTTGTCCCACACCAGAGAATAGGTCCTCCTGGGTTTTTAGGGCAGAATTTCTCTGTTGGCATTATATGCTGGGGAGTCGGTAGCAGAATTGCTTGTAATTAGCACTTGTGGTAGTTGTTCCTAGTGATGCTGCTAAAGAGCCACTAAACAGATGGAGGGAATTCACGTGGGGGTTCAGAGCAGAACTAACTCACTTAATTGAAAAATTAGGAATTGTTCCCCCATCGAATGGGTATGAGTTAAAGGCAGTGCTGTGGTGTGCAAATTGCCTTTACCACTTCTTGTATAGTGAAGGGCCAAACAGATCTGCTCTGCCATCTTTATTTCTTCTGAAACTGTTCACCAAGTATTACATCTCAGCCTAAAAACAGGGGTTGGCTTTGTTCCATTATTTGGTTAATTGTTCTTAAATAAACTCTGGATCTAAAAAGAAAAAGAAATGTGATGTGCCTAATTGTATATACTGGGTTGGATATACACTGGTTTGTGCCGATATTTGGAAAGGGAACAAAGAGAGTAACAGAAGTCAGACAAAGAGATGCCCAAAGCCTTCTGCTCCTTTCCTCATGGTCGTTAGACCTTCAGCTTGGAATAGCTCTCTTCAGGACTACATTGACTGGCTTTAAAGTGATTGCAAAATGGAGCGGACAGATCTTGTAGGCAGCCGCAAACTTCCACCGATTTACGGTCTGATTTACGTAAACTCAGTACTTCTCAAAGTATCGCAACCGTTAGCCTTGCTGGAAAGCCGTTTTGGAGTGGTGCAGGGCTGCAATCAGACTGCAGCTGAGAAACTCAGCCTCCTTCAGGGGCAGGATCACAGCTTCCCAGGGCTGGCTTAACCCAGCAGACTGTGTGTATCTGTGCCCAGAGAGACAGTATAAAAACAATGAATTATTAATATCTGGAAGGCATAAAGCTTAATGAATAAGTAATAAGTTGCAGCACTTTCCTTTTCTTAGAAAAATAGGCTGGCTTTATTTATTTTAATTTTCCTTTCATTAAGCATTTTTCTTCTGTTGCTCTTTCTAAGCACCCTAAGGTGCTGATATTTAGGATAAATATTACAGAAACTAAGGAAATTTTACCGCTGCCCTTCAGGCTGAGCGAGGGAAGGAGAGTTAGGGATGCTTTCTGGAAAGGGCTTTTGCTGATTTTGCTTGCAGGTAGGGGGGGTCTGGAGCAGCGGATCATTTGCGCAGCTCCTTCCAGCAGTGTCTTTCAAAACATAGCAAAACAGACCTCACCGTGTGCCTGCAGAGACATGAGTACACAGAGGTAAACTAATTTTCCCATCCTCATCCCTCTGGTTAACATAAACCTAAATGTTCAGAGTGCCTTCCAAGTCTCATACCCATGTTTTGCTGGCAGCACAAGTTGAGGAAAGCCTTTTAAACAAGCACGGGTAGCCTGCGATTTAAAAGATGACTGGGGTGGGATCTCATCCCTGGCCGCCACCAGTGTCACCAGTGCTGACACCAACAGGGACCCAGTCCTTGATCTCTAGCAGGGTCTGAGTTGGGCAGTCCCAAGTCCTTTGGAAAGCCAAGCCAACAGGCACATTTGGAGATCACCTCCTGTTTGAAGCGACTGTTTCTCTGCAGTCCTGGCCAGATTTCAACCTGGATAACCATGCTCCACCTGCTTAAAATCCTTCCCGAGTCTTTCACTGGGTATGGCATGGGCCCCTCCTGTTCTGTAGTGCTGCAGTGTCCCCCTTCCAGTTTCCTACCACCTGCTTTTAAATTGATTTCTAGATCATCTCTGCCTCCATTTATTAATTGAGCTGGATCCCTTGCAATTATTTCAAAGGATCTAAATGTGAAAGACATAGGTATGTGCACAGCACAGTGCAATAGCTTCTCTTGGTGTGTATCTGCACCTCCCAGCAGGTTGTCATCTCCCCTATTCCTTTTATCTTTGAGGGTTGGGTTCATCCACATCGGTCTGAATTCATCTGTTGCCCCATGTGAGCACATCCTTGTTAGCAGTGGAGTTAGAGGAGGACTCCCCTTGAGAAGAAGGGGGAACTGGTGCTCGGTGAAGATATGGGGTCTACTCAGGTCACAGGGTGGATCTTGGGGAATCAGATCTGCTCTTCACATAGGCACAAGAGGCCAGGTAGCACCTTTCCTTCCACAGGTAGCTTGCTAGAGAGTTTTATCACAGTGAGTTTTTGTTACCTCAAGCTTCCACACAAAGTCTGCCCCTCTTCCCATTCATCCCTGCTTTCGCTTCATATTTCTTTTTTTTTTTCCTCCCTGTTGGCATGTCATCACATTTTCATTAATGTACCAACAACAAGGCAGCTGCTGTTGCTTAGTCCCTAGTATTGTCTTCTCCTCTGGACCTTGGAATTGGGAGATCCTTGAAATCCATGGCTTTTATGTGACTTTTAGGCAGAATCAGGTGCTTTACTTCCCCGCTTGCCTGCAAGTATTTCTGTTCACACTGTAAAATCAATCTGTTCTGGGTACTTTTTCTACTTTAATCTGACTGCTGCTAACACTTTGTTTCTTTCATTAACAGATTAGCTTTACAGAAAACCTGTCACCGACAGCCTGCCCTGTTGTCCCCATCACTGAGTGAGAAAACTTCAAGGAGAAGCTGAGGGCAAACCACACCTCAGGGACAGTCCATGGGGACTGTACCAGACCCTCTGCGAACTGCCAAGCTTTCACTGGTCACAGCTTCTGCGGAGGAGGACCGCCTGGGAGACCTGCAGCCGGCAAAGCACCAGCCCCAAACACCCAGCGGAGAGAGGACAAGCAATGGCTTCCCCTGCACGCCCTCCAGCTCCGATGGGGTTTGCTTGCACGACCTGAAATGCACGGCGGCCACCAGCACACAGAGGCATGAGCAATGCAGCAAGGATGATGCTAACCAGCGGGAAGCCATCCCTCCCGCGCTCGCCGGCAAAGCTGCAGAGGAGCATCCCACAGCTGTAGAGCCTGCTGGTTGCACCCAGCCGGGGGGCAGCCAGGCACTGACATCAGCAGCCCCTACCTCAGCAGGAGCCCCCTTAGTGGGGCGGGGGCCGGAGATGATGCCGGCCCCCCAGAGCTCCCGGCAGTTTGTGCAAGGCAGCCAGGTGAAAACGAGCTCCTTGGCGCAAATGGATGACTCTGCCTTGAAACCGCAGGGGACTGATGATCAGCCAAAGCTTGAGGTGTTAAATTATTCTTCCCTGGGCGACCGTGTGAGGGGTAATGAGTCCTGTCGTACTTTTCAGGCAAACCCTCTGCAAGGAGGGGAAAGAGACAGGGGAGCAGAAAAGACTGGTTCTGCTGTGTGTCCGTCAGCCTCGCCAGCCAGGCACACCGAAGCTGACCCAGGGAGAGAGACACAGACCAGTTTGGAGGCAAAAAGCGGGGCTGCAGACACCACACAGTCGCATCCCACAGATAAAACTGAAGCAGGTCAGAGCACTGAGGCACCAGCCCAGCCTAGCCATGAGAGTCCACAGCCCGTACACAGCACGGATGCCAAGCTGGGGAGCCCAGACCCCACGCAGCTCTCCAAATTCAAAGAAATGGGTACAATGACAGTTCAGTCTGAGAGCAGCGCTTTGACTCAGGAAGCAGCAGACAGGACATGGCGAGATGCTGAGGTGCAGGCCGTGGCTGCTGTGGAGAGCAAATCAGCCTCCACCAGTCCCAGCATCCTTGCTGCCTTCTTAAAAGGGAATCCTCCTCCAGAGGAGAAGGAAGAAGTGCACATAATTTACCAAGGAGGTATGGGACTGGGCCAGTCTGCACTTACTGACAGTTCATCCTCACAACAAAAGTCCCCATGTTCTCCTGGTGTCACATCAAAATCGACTGTTGTTATGGCTGTGACTGCTTCAGCCCAACCCCAGCCTGTCAAACTGCCTGGGGTCCCATCTGATGTGGCACCTCCAGTGTCAGCAAATAATGCAAAACCTGCTCCCGCCTCCTCCCCTGTAGCTGTTACCTCCCAGGGGACATCTGTGGGTAATGCTGAAATGACGGGTGCAGCCTGTGATGACAAGGATGCTGCTCAGCTGCCGATGGATGCTCCATTCCCCCCAAAGCCCATCTCTGTTGACTCCAGTAATCAAACTCCAGCACAGCCTGGGTCTCGTGCTGGTGAACCAAGCACCACTGCCACTGTCCCAGGAGCCAAGGACACCGTGCAAGATCTTGTCCATGATGCGGGAAGCAGCCGCTTACCTTTACTCCATAGCACAGAGGGTAAGGTCGAGCCGAAGGAGGCCCTGGGCAGCAGCGAGCAAAAGCCTGTGCAAAGTCAGGGTGCGAGTCAAGGGGAGGCAGTTCCTAATCAATCTGTGGTGAAACCGAAGGAAGAAAACTCAGCAGTACTTGATCATAAAGGAGGGATGAACGTTAGCAGCCAGCCTCCCGCTGTCCATGTGAAGGCGTGCTTGGAGGATGCAGGTGGAAAGGAGGAAAGCAGAGGCCAGGGAGGCACTGGCCAGGCTCAGGCAGCCGGCGGCCAGGGCCTGCAGGCCGGACTGACACCTGCCTTGAGTGCGAGCTCTGCCCGTCTCACCCCTCCCTCGGAGGCATCAGCAGCCTCCCAGCAGCAAAGCCTCCAGGCCAAGGAGACCAAACGTGAGCTTCCTGCTTCAGCTCAGCCCTTGCCAAACCTGGGGGGAAACAAAAAGCAGCCCACCCCAGCCATGGAGGCAAAAGTGCAGGTGAAGCAGTCCAAGCACGTCAGGGATGTTGTTTGGGATGAGCAAGGCATGACATGGGAGGTTTACGGTGCTTCTCTCGATCCAGAATCCCTGGGAATCGCCATCCAGAACCACTTACAGAGACAGATACGGGAGCATGAGAAACTGATCCGGGCCCAGAACAGTCAGACCCGGAAATCCATTTCCTCAGACACATCCTCAAATAAAAAACTGAAAGGGAGGCAGCACAACGTGTTCCAGTCCATGCTGCAGAATTTTAGGCGTCCTAATTGCTGCGTCCGACCCGCTCCCTCTTCTGTGCTAGACTGACGTGGTGTGCAGGGATGCGTAGATAGAGAGAATCCTTCCCCTTGAGTCTCGAGTCCTGCTGTTCAGTTGTGTTATTGGGGTTGTGATGCAGCAACAGTGGAAAATTATTCCCCTTTGTTTCCCGAGTAGCCGCGCACTCCATGATGCCGTTGTTATTGCCACAGCTGGTGCATTTCCACATTATGCCCCCCCGTCCCACCTACTGTCAGATGAAAAGCTAGGCACCTAGCAAAAGCACAAATTCACATTGCCACCTTGCTGCAGGGAGAGCAGCACTTTCTGATAAAAGCAAGAAGCAGAGAGATGGTCAGAGTTACTATGGGAAGTTATTTGTGTGCATCACGAGGTCTTACACAAAGGGGTGGGCTGGGGGAAGCTGGAAGAGGTGAAACTAAGGTCCAACAGCTGTAAGGACTTAATGCAAAACAACTTTCCTGGTGTGTAAGTTAACCACGCCAAGGCGAGTCTGTACAGACATTGATTGCTGAGTGGTCTCACTGCTCCTGATACTGGGGACACTGTTCTCCTGTGAGCCCCAGAGAGCCAGGTCTTCCCCTCCTCTTGAAATGGAGAACCAGGCAAAGAGTGAGGATCAAGGCTGAAGGATTATTTATTTGGGAGAAGCCAAGTCGATGGGATTTTGATGGCTGGAAGGGGAGGTGAGGGAGGGATATATGCTGTGGGCTTTTTCTCCCTTGCATCAGCTATGCTTAAGGTGTAAGCAGGCGATGCGCACAGGGCAGACGAGGCGTGGGGAGTACGTGGGTGGATGTACCTGCATCCGGCAGGACAGTGCCCTGGCTCGTGCTGTGGCAATCTGGCCAAGCCTTTCAAAAGCAGCGGAGCTGTTCTGGCTCCTCAGCTGGGGTGGGCAGCCTCTGCTCCCAGCCCCCCGTGGCGCTGAGCACCTCTACTCTGAATCACTCTTTAAAGTGATGTGGATCTTTTTCTTCTCTCCAGAGATGCACAGTAATGTTTTCCTGTAGGAGCAGGCTATCCTGTGCATCTGCGTCCTTGAGCCTTCGTGTCTGGTGTGGTACACTGATTTTTTTCCTTTTAAGTCCTTGGCCAACTCTACTTCTTAATTTTTTCTTTTTTGCAGTATTTTGGTGCTTTTCTTGCTGTTTTTCATAAACCGAATACCATTTATTTAGCCTGTGCGGATTTTGTTCTGTTGCTCTCGATATTATAAACTGTTATATTGTTAACTTGAAACGTTTACTTTACAGAAGTACTGAAACCTCGAGACAATCTTTGCTGTATTTCTAATGTTAGAAAAGATGTAGAAACTGCTAATAAAAGGTAGTTTAGTGACTGTTTCTCCAGAAGTGTGATATACAATAATGCCTCAAATGTACGTTGGTCACATTTCTCACCTTAGTATTTTTCAGTCTGGGAAATGTGTTTCCCACCAGCTTTATATTCTGTCTGCTAGAGTTCATGATGGGAGGCAGGAGAACTCCTGCAGTTCGTAGAAAATTTAGTTTTCAATCCTGCAAAGCACTGAGAATTTGGATATTGTAATCCTGCAGAGTACTAGGATTACAATAGGGGTTATTTTTATTCCATTAAAGGTTTTTCATGAATCATGATACTTTATTTCTGTCTCTAGTACACACACCTGAGTTACACTGCAGATCTTACTCTTACAACTTACTCTGTAAATCTTCCAGGTTTACACATTGTAAATGAATATTAATATCTTTTTTAAAAAAACTTTTCCCATGCAGCAGACCTGAATGTCCCCTTTTATTTAGGAAGCTGGACTTTTTGACTTCCAAGTCTTCAAAGCAGCTGTTTTGGGGCAATTTTACCCAGCAGAGAGGTAAAATACTGTAAGACACAATATTTTAACCCAGCTCAATGAAAGGTGTTGCCCCTAGATGTAGTACTGACTTGACTCCTAGTTTTCCTCTGGGAAAAAGGGGTTTGTTTATATTTATTTGGGGGCTTGTTCCATTTCTGTACATTATTTCAAGTCCTCTCCCACTTGATGCTTAATTGCTGTTTCTGAAATACCACATTATAGAGTGTCTTCCCACCTTGCCTACCAGGAGGAAAGTCTCCCACCTTTTTCCTGTTAGTACTGCCGTTGCCATCGCCTTCCTCACCATGTCCAAGATGTGAGTTTCCTGTGAATTTTCATGTGGGATTTCATATTGGCAGTATCCTTAGGTCAGGTTAGTTGACAAGTTCGGTGTCTCTTCCCGCGTTGTGTCCGTGTCAGCCCTGAAGAGGTTCCCCGAGTTGTCTGCGGTGTTTGCTGTGTCCTGTCCAGGTCCAAGGCTTTATGCTGCTCCTTTCACCTCCTTTCTGCTCCCTCCATCACCAAATTACTGCTCATTCTGTCTTCCTGCGATACCGTGTCCCTTGGCTTAGCTCGCGTCCCCCGCTCCACTGTCCCCCTCGCTGTCACGTTGTGAGCCAGCGTACTCTGAACTGTCTCTTTACAAACATGCTCAGTCTGAATATATAAATGGATTGTCATATTTTTTTTCCAGAGGAGAATAAATGGCTATCGCGCACTCACCAACTTCCATGACCTTTATCCTTTAGCTTAAGCTCTCCAAAGTATTTCTAGCATAGGGGTATGAGTTGCTTTATTGAGACCAAACTGGGCTTGGCAATGAACGAGCAGGTTGCTGGGCCAGCACTGGACTAACTCTTCTTTGTGAGGAATGGGAGATCTCTCCTGGTTCCCTGTGAGTCTTCACCAGCCGGTCCACCTGCTCCTCCTGCCCTGACTGACCTTTCTTCCAGCAAAACTTCACCAATACATACGTACCACGAAACGCCAACGGGCAGGTTACCCAGTGGATGCATCTGAACAACTGCATGGGTGTAACTGGAAAAAAACCCGCAGTGGTCAGCAGAGCACTGTGCTTTCGTGTTCTGGGAAAATACGACTGCAAAGACAAACTGCAAAATGTCAGTGACGTTGCCTGGTGGGCACAGAAGTCCTGCAGGCGTGCGTTTGAAGCCAAGCAATAATGTGCCAAAAACCAACACACAAAAATGAGTCGATAATCACCAGCGCATCTCATGGAAGATATTTTAGGTTTTCACTTCGCCTTGCAAGGCAGACTGTAGGCAACCTGCTAGTTTAACACTGGTAATTTATGCTTTCTCCTGTGTACAATGTCTAGATGACAATGTGAATCCTTGTAGGGATGATGCATCTTTCACCAGCAGCAAAACAGAACCATGTTTTGGGTAGCACTTAGCAAATACTATGTGTGTGAGTGGTCTTGTAGCAGCCAAAGAAGACTGTTCTTGGTGTTGTGTCAGTGTCCAGAATGAAAGTGTGCTTGGAGTAGCGGTGTGGCAGAGGGTACAGGGAGATGATCCATGTTCCATCACCCCGCTCTTTTTCTCTGCCCAGAGACTCAGAATCACATTGCACTGGTTGAATTATCAACAACCAAGGAAATCCATTTAGGTTAATAAAAAGAGGGTTCAAAACAGAAAGTACTTCGTCATTCCCAAGAGTAAATCTCTATTAAAAATTAGAAATAAAAAAAAAAACAACCTGTGTTGCAGCCTAGCCAGCTGAAGTGACTCTTAAATTCAGGTATTGCAAGGTGAGAAATTTTGGGGAAACAAGCTAATTGTCAGGAAACTCTTCCCTGTTGGTTGCATCTTCTGGGAAGGTTGACATGGCCAGAACCACAAGACTGAAGAGTTACTTCTACTTTCACTTCAGGAGCTTTCCACTAGGAAAGATGAGAATAAGCAAGTTTCAGTGTTGCCAATACAAAAGCTGAGCTGAAGGACAACCTCATTGCAGGCAGTTTCCAGCGCACTCCTGGATTTTGTGTGAGGCTGTGGCATCCACCACTGTCTGTATGCGCTTGGTTGGTGTCTGCCAGCTTTGCATTGCCTTGGGCACGAGTGCTGAAGCCCTGCCTCGTTTCTGCTGAGTTGGTTTAGAAAAAAGAGGGGGGAAAGAGCTGGAGGAGAATATCCATCTTCTCCATTTCAGAGGAAGAAATCCTCCTCTTGAATATGCATTCAGGAATTGCTGAGAAACATGGGGAGGGAGGGAGAAAAAGGGGTAAAATGAAGTTGATGTAGATGCTTCACAAGGAATTCCCATGTCTGTAAAGCCAATGCTGTCCTTAAGTTTTGCCCATTTTTTCATTCTGAGCTCACACATTTTTCATGTTGTTGGTGACCTGTGGCTTTTAGGAAAATGAACATTTCCAAAGGCTGTATATTTTGCTACTTTGTATAGAGATACCCAAATATGATTCAACAAAACCACTAGGCAAAAAACCTCAGTTTGTTACTGCTACCACCGCATAAGAGCTTGTAAAATGCACTGTTTGGAGAGGTATATTCAAGGGATTCAGAAAAGGTGAATATACGTTCTAAAGATAACACTAGCTCTTATCTTGAATTTCATTACTACGTTGAAGTGTTAAAGTTGGAAGTGGAAATCCAAATGAAAATCAGTGTTGAAGTTGATGGAAAATTCAAGTCGGCTGCCACTGGTTTTCAGTTTGGAAATTGATGGAATCTACCATACCAGTGTTTCATTACTTAGCTCCGTACATGCAAGGTTTCTATGAAAATACACATTTAGTTGGAAGTGGAAATCCAAATGAAAATCAGTGTTGAATTTGATGGAAAATTCAAGTCGGCTGCCACTGGTTTTCAGTTTGGAAATTGATGGAATCTACCATACCAGTGTTTCATTACTTAGCTCCCCGTACATGCAAGGTTTCTATGAAAGTACACATTTTATTAGCTCATGAGCTCCATTGCCTTGTTCCGTGTCTATCCTTCTACACCTTTCAGAAATGAATGTAAAAGGTTACTAAGACAGAGGAAGTCTTTCTTACTCAGCCTATGGAAATGGCTGCTCTGAATGAGACCATGAATGAAAGATCATGAGGCTCCATGGTTTTAGAAAGTTAAGGGCTATGGTTTGAAGGAAACTCTCCCCTCCTTTCCCTCCCTTTCCTGTTTTTATAACATCTCAACCTCTGTTGTTTTAT